TTTCAGAATTTTTACTTGATAAATTAATACTTACTATGAGTGGATTTCTGAGAAAAATGATGAGGAATGTGGTCCAGGACAGTCTTCTACTTCTTGAAAGAAAGGTATTTTGTTGCAAAGGATCCGTTTAACCAAGATTGTCATTTGGAAACGGAGATCAACTTTATCCATCTCACATGAGATGTATCTCTCCAAGGAAATATTCAACACATCCTCGGGCGTTGGGGATGCTCTGACATGTCCTGCAGGGTAGCAGTTGTAGCCTATGTAATAAATAATTATAAATAGGTAAATTAAAATTAAAGAATTGATAGTATTCTACTTTGTACATTTCATTACACAGATTTATGTTCACATTGAATAGCAGACATGGATCCGGGAATTGTTTCCAGGGGAGTCAACCCCACGCAAAAAGAATTCCAATCGAAAAATCTCTTGACAAGCAAAATAAACCTTAACTATGATTATCTCAATTATTAAATCTTCTATGTAAGCATATATAATCTACTCTATAATATACTGATTGTTATAATAATAATTTAACATACATGACATACATACGTGCTAATCTTGTGCATATCCAGGTGAGGGGATGAATTTCCCAGAGTTAAATGTGTAGACCCCTCCACCGAACGAAATAGATTTTTCATACTTGGGAAATTGAGATGACCAGTTCTGGCATTAAAATCTCCTATGAAACAAACATGTCCATTGTCATTTGCTAAATTGATCATTTCATGTTCCATTTCAAGAAAACAATTATTGAGAGAGTAATTACTACCTACATGGTGCGATATAACCTCAAATAATAAATCTTCATTTGTGTTGAAGAGTACTTTGCTAATTCAAAACCATAAAACATTTACAACTAGACCTTATTTTTGTCGTTCAACAAAAACGGAGGGCTTTTCGACCCCTTAAAATAACTAATCTTAAAAAAACAATATTTTACAATTAAAAAAAATCTTATAATAAAATATTGCAAAAGTTCTGTTGAGGTCAATGTTTGATTGCAAACATTACAATTTTCATTGTACGTCAGTGTCCACTCAAAGAGACATAACTCTTTCGTGGTTATAAAACAGATTCGAAATTGTACTGATTTTCAATCCACTAAAAACACTATAAGGGGTTAAAAAGTCACCCCACGGCCCATGATTTTTAAAATGTACTCTTTATACTTCATGTAGTGCCAAAATTATTTTGAATATTGGTTGAGAATTAAACACGTAACAGAGAAAAAGGTGTTTTCTGTACTGACCCCTAAAATCCTTTCTATTTTAGGGATTTTTATTTCCATGACCTTAGCATCTGGAGACAATAGAAGAGTCAATATTCATATGAAATTTCACAAAAATTGCTTGCCTACCTTTTGAGATAATGGAGCAAACATGATTTCAAATTTAACATAGAAATCTCCATAGGCAATTTTAAGGTACTTATAAAACCAGAAGTACTCTACATATCCATACCAAAATTAAAACATTGAGAGCATATTAGACTCCATACAGTTTGCCAAAGGGAGATAACTCTTGCAAAATTATTTTTGAAAATACTTGAAAATACAAAATTTCAGGTCTCTAGAAGTCCTTTAAGGGGTCAAAAAGTGACCCACAGACCATTATTTTTAAATTGCCCTTTTTATGCTTAACTCAAAGCAGAAATCAGTTTGATGATTTATGGACAAATAAAAAAGTAATATACAAAAAACTAATTTCTTTACTGACCCCTAAAATCCCTTTTATTTTAAGAAATTTCATTTTCATGATCTTAATATCGAAAGACAATGCTAAAGTCATTATTTATGTGAAATATCATGAGACTTGCTTGCTTCCCATTGAAAATAATGGACATTAAATGATTTCATATTTAACATAGAAATCTCCATAGGCAATTTTAAGGTACTTATAAAACCGGAAGTTCTCCACATATCCATACCAAAATTGAAACATAAAGAGCATATTAGACTCCAAACAGGTTGACAAAGGGAGAAAACTCTTGCACAATTATTTTAGAAAATACTTGAAAATACAATATTTTAAGTCTCTAAAAGTCCTTTAAGGGGTCAAAAAGTGACCCCACGGACCATTATTTTTAAATTGCCCTTTTTATGCTTAACTCAAAACAGAAATCAGTTTGAAGATCTATGGACAAATAAAAAAGTAATATACAAAAAACTAATTTCTTTACTGACCCCTAAAATCCCTTTTATTTTAAGAAATTTCATTTTCGTGATCTAAATATCGAAAGACAATGCTAAAGTCATTATTTATGTGAAATATCATGAGACTTGCTTGTTTCCCATTGAAAATAATGGACATTAAATGATTTCATATTTAACATAGAAATCTCCGTAGGTATTCTTAAGGTACTTATAAAACCGGAAGTACTCTGCATATCCATACCAAAATTGAAACATAGAGAGCATATTGGACTCCAAACAGTTTGTCAAAGGGAGATAACTCTTGCTTGATAATTTTTGAAAATACTTAAAAATACAAAATTCCAGGTCTCTAAAAGTCCTTTAAGGGGTCAAAAAGTGACCCCACGGACCATAACTTTTAAATTGTCCTTCTTATGCTAAACCCAAAACTGAAATCAGTTTGAAGATTGGTTGAGAAATAAAAAAGTTACAGGGCAAAAACGATTTTAAGAGTTGACCCCTAAAATCCCTTTTATTTTAAGGAATTTTATTTTCATTACCTAAGCACCGAAAGGCAATTCTAACGTAGTTCTTCATATGAAATATTATGAGACTTGCTTGCTTCCCTTTGAAAATAATGGACATCGTATGATTTCAAATTTAACATAGAAATCTCCATAGGCAATTTTAAGGTTTTTATAAAACCGGAAGTACTCTACATATCCATACCAAAATTGATACATAAAGAGCATATAAGACTCCAAACAGTTTGACAAAGGGAGATAACTCTTGCTTGATTATTTTTGAAAATACTTAAAAATACAAAATTTCAGGTCTCTAAAAGTCCTTTAAGGGGTCAAAAAGTGACCCCACGGACCATAATTTTTAAATTGTACTTTTTCTGCTGATCTCAAAACTGAAATCAGTTTGAGGATCGGTTAACAAATAAAAAAGTTACAGGGCAAAAACGATTTTTAAAGTTGACCCCTAAAAGTCCCTAATTTTAAGGGATTTAATTTTCATAACCTTTTCAGCTCAAGACAATAATAAACCAATGGCAAATAAAACTTCGTATTATCCGCCCCTGAATGTAGGTGGCGTATGCACCGTTTAGGTTCAACGCTCTTTTTACCTCCGCGATTAGAGATCACTTTCACTATCCGAAGGTATCGACTGTTGTGAAAATATACGTAATAAAATGACTGATTACGGCGTTTATTGTCTTAAAGTCTCAGAAATAAATGTAATCGGCGATATGCATCATGATATGTTCGTAATTGGAGCTTGTTGAAAGGTCTGTTCCATATTTTGAGATTTTAATCGTAATTTCCTCAGTCAAATAGCAATCACGTTTTAAGCTTAAAAACAGAGGGTATAAAAATAGATCGGAAAGATTTACAATATTTTAAACATTAGAAAATAAATTTTCCGTTATTGTTGAAATATCTTATTCGGCTTTCTTTATTTTTAAACTGGGAAAACAAAGTATTGTTTGCATGCAAGTACACTATTCAGTTCACATTACGCATGTAGTAATCAGCTGGTAGTGTCAGGAACGAATATACTGAGTACCTGATATACAGTGTAGTTTATTACTTTATACGTCCCTAGTACCCAGTATATGAAATTGGACGAGAAGAAAAAACGAAATAAAATAATTTGGTTTAGATTTTCTGAATTAAATCATCTAATAGAATAAAAAAAAACTTTGCTAACAATCATGTTGAGAGAGAGAGAGAGAGAGAGAGAGAGAGAGCGAGAGAGAGAGAGAAGTGAAGGTGCCTAAGATTTTTCAGACTTAGTGTGGATATTGACAAGGACATCTTAAGTCCCTTTATTCTAATTCAAGATTCCTCTTATTCTAACAACCAACTTTATCAAGATTACCCTTTATCAATTGGAATTTTTAATATGACAAGGAAATAATTATTTATATTCCTTAATTGAAACATTCTTACCCAACTGATATTTAAATCAGTGTCACTCTTGAAAGTATTTTTTTGTTTTGTTGATGTGGGGAAAATAAACAACATACAGCTAAGTCCTTCTTCACATTTATACACATACCTTATAAAAAAGTATTATTTCTTCAGAAATTCCATATCATTATAATTGTATTACATGTATGTGCCCACATTTGACAATCTGATTAAAATCAAATCTTTGTTACACAACAAAATTCTAATTATAATGGTCACTGTACATGAAGAAGATTGTACAGCGGCCATCAGAAATTCAGTGTATCAGAGATCTGATTTTAATCAGATTGATGTTCCCGTGAAGATACAATTATGTATATGATCATGCTTTATATTTTATGAGTAGCCAAACATAAAAGTAATTTTCGAAACCTTTGCTGTACATGACTTAGATTTTCATCCTGCCAAGGTAAATTACCCATTCAGGACCCAATAAAAACTTTTCAAATAATTATTGATAACAGTGATATTGTATATACTTGTTTTATTATATGATATGTGTAAAAAAAAAAAAAACATCTAAAATTTGCAATATGCTGAACAACAAATCATACATTTAATATTGTAAAATACAATATTGTAGCTTAAAATATTGTAATAAATTTTCAAAGCCATATTACATGTATTAGTCTTTCAAGTCCCATATGTTCAACATTTAGATCCATGTTTTTTTTTCAAATGAATTCTTCCACTCATATTTATAGAAACTCATAAACTGTCATGATTGTTTACAGCAATTCAAATCCACAACACATTTTTTATCTAAATAAACTGCTCAGGCTAATATGATGTAAAATGAGTTTCAGTTAATACAGCAGTTATTTCTTCATCAATCACCTTGTAAGGCCACCTTGTGGGAGTATCTGCTTTTTCTTGATATTTCAGTCAATTTCTAAAACAAAAAAATAAATGTATCTAAATTCAATTTACATGTAACTATCAATTTTCATATCATAAATTGATAAACAGTATTTATTATAGTGCCCTGATATATCCAAACAAAGATAAATGACAGGGTTTTGATTTTGAAAGGTCTATTTGGGGTCAAAATAAGTAAAGCCCCAATGCCACTTCTAATGCCAAAAAACGGGGGTGTTCTATCAATTTTTTTCTTTCTAAAAAAGTCCAAACATGGATGCCATATTCTACGCATATCAAATTCTCAGATCCCAAGATACAATGTTGTCTCAAAATTTTAAAGTAAACTACTTATTTATGGTTTAAATTCAGTGTAATGAAAACTGGCACAAGTATTTTAATGACCTACCTTAAAATACAGTCCCAAGGTGTACATTTTTTTTAATGTTAAATCTTCCCCAATTCCAAGCATAAACTGGACAGGTCAGGCTCTTAGTATCAAGGCATTGTACAGCCTTAATTAAACTGGTCCTATAAAAATGGTCAAGAAAATTATAAATTTATATATAAAAAAAATTTATAACATGAATTTGAAAATTTGACTTAATGTGTTTATGGTTTCAGAAATATTATTATAGTAGATATGCTGCCATGTAAATTTATATCTTATAAATAGATGTCAAACAAAATGCAGTATAAATTTATCAAATAAACAGTGGCGCATCCAGCAATTACCTAACGGGGTGCAGTAGAAAGCAGGGAAGGGGGGGGGGTTCTTGTGGCTCTACTAAAGCCCCTAGTGGGTCTAGGGCAATGTCTTTTTCGGAAGGCTGGGGCTGAAAAGCTTACAAGTTCTTAGTTCTTACATATAAAAAAGGAAGTTTTCCCTTGATTTCAGGATGATGGACATATATCAAAATGTTAACATACTGATACAACAGTTTCATATTGGGGGGGGGGGGGGCATGCCGGGTGCGCCAGCCCTGGATCTGCCTTTGAGAAACATTTCTTGACAAGCTATTTGATAATATTTTGGCATATTCTTTACTTTTCAAAGTATAGAAAAATTATAGAATTTAAGTGATGAAATATGAATAACATCAACTTGCATTTGAGGAGGAAATCCTCCCTCAGTCTCTGTAACTATCCTTACCATTAAATCTTCATGTTTTCTTCAGTCGGATCAGTTTACCTGTGGGATATACAATATGAACTATATAGATTTATGACAAAACAAAATGACTATGTAAATGCAAGCTTTTGCACTTTTTGAAGAGTTTAACAATTTCGTTGAATATATTGCATTGAATCTGTCAAGTAATTATATAGCGGAGTATTTTCATGAGAATAAAAAATGCATGTAAATCAACGTATACAAATTGAATTATGAAATACATATGAAAAAAAAAAACAAACTAAAAACTAATCTAAGTTATTCATATCGTAGCTTTAAAAAAGCTTCTTTTTTACATTGTAATTAAAACCATTATTCATAGACTGTAAGCATCATATATTTTATGCAGGAATGATTACGGATACCCCCCCCCCCCCTTATCATGAAAACTTATGTGAAAACGACATATAACGTACAGAATTTACTGAGCACGAATAAATTTTAAAGTAAAAAGAATTTTTTAAATGCATATAAAACTAAATGAGGAACTTACCTTCTGAAGTTGCAGAGATGAACGTCTCCCCGAATGCATGTGCCACAACACGCAGTGTAACTGAAGTCATCGAGGTTTTTGTTGCGAAATACATGATCGAATCTATGTATGGCTGATACCTAACAGTTAACCGACTTTTTATCTACAGGAAAGCTTAATTTACAACAGCTTAAACACTTAGGGAATCCTGAAAAACATCGATATACCATTGACAGGTGCACAGATTTGACGTGTTTACATGCTACCGGAAGTGTTGTTGAACCTAAACGGTCGTTGCGCCACCTATGTTTTTACAAAGGGGCAAAACCGACAAATATCGGCAATTATTCCCTGTAAAATATTACTAGAATTGCTTGCTCTGCCTTTGAGAAAATGGATGATGCAAGATTTTTTTTTACTATAGAAAATCCCATTGACAATTTCAAATCGTCATAGAACCGGAAGTTCGGGTCTGGTTGACTTGAAACTTACATTACAACCTTTAATTACTTTGATAAACAATATATAATCCTCAAATTAAATTTCCTACATTGTTTCAATTTTTTTTATTTCAATCCCCCCTTTTCTTAACTTTGGAGCCCTGTAACACAAAAATATATCATAGGTGCAAAAAGACTAACGATGACTTTTTTGTAGATATTACTTTGAGGAATACATTCCTAAAATTTGAACGAAATTCAATGTAAAATAAGGAATATTTTAGGCTTTAAAGAAAATGTAGTTTTTGACTTATAAATACCGGAAGTGAAGTTTCCGGAAGTACAAAACCTTACTTATGGGACACTTTTAGATGTTCTGTTGAATGATTTTGTTTTAAAATACATATGTCCAGTGGTTTTCTTTAAATCCTTGACATAAAAGTGTTAAGTATAATAATAATAATAATAATAAAACAAGACGAAAACAATAGGTCTTTTCGCAGAAAGCGAAAAGCCCTAATAAGTTTTGATAAACTGAACATATTTTACAATATCATCTCTGATTGCAACTAAAATACAGCCGGATGTAGTATTTTTTATTCTGTGTATATTTATAATGTATGTTACAAATCCTGGTAACAAATATTATCTCAGTAAGCCCCTCAACATCGAATTTTGAAACAATTATTGTTGAATTCGCTGTAGTTCAATCTGTTTTTAATTCCACACACATTTAGGGATAGGAATCTAAGACAACTGGTCTGTTCCTTAGCATGTCCCTCATTTGTATTTTCTGGCGTAGAGAATACACGCGCTTTGGGTTGCGATCATTCGGCGTCCTATTTACCCAGCTGGAGGCGCCATTGTTTCTGGTCCACTCAGCTGTACGAGTGGTGGCGGAATCCTAAGGGGTGTACTCCCTGTCGTTAATGTAAAGTATATCACGTACTAACTTTTCCTGCTTTTGGTCCTTTTTTGCTTTTCTTAAAATTGGGTAGTTTTTCCTCAATCTAACTGTTCGTTAGCATGCCAATGACTTCCTTTTTGGCTGCATTTATTCGAATATATTCCCTGTCTTTGAAGTAAGAGAATTTTGCTACTATCTTCCTCGGATATTCACTAAATTCATATCTTCCCATCCTATGCACTCTTTCAAAATCGATAAGGTAGTCAAACCTCCGTCGTAGACAAACCTTGAGCACATGTTCAGTGTCCTCCCATGCTCGCTCTGGTATCCCTGAAAACACCAGTTTATCACGCATGGAACGCGCCTTCAGATCCACCAAGGAGTCTTGGAGATAGCTATTTCTTTCTTTTAAAGCTGTAATTTTGGGTTTGCTGGCTTCTGGTCTCATACAATTCCATTCTCATACAATAAGAAACGAGTATTCTATATGATTTGTGACATGATCGTTCGGTTATTTTTAGATTTTGAAGCTTCTGTATCTGTGTGATTTTTACAGGAAATCCGATAATGTAATGATAACTAATTTGATTAAAGTATAAAAGTTGAAGGTTAAGTTAACAAAAGTGACCAATCATTTAACAATGCATTTTGCGTTCGCGCGCACTGTCCATGCGAGAATCATTTAGACGGTGATACAATGGCTGGTCATAGGGATGTCATGGATATCGATTTTCTTGATGCACTGGACAATGACATAGACGATCTTATACTTTCTCAAATATGTGAAACGCTAGAGAATGAATTTTTGGCATTTAAAGGAATATGTGATTTATCGCTGAGTTTGAAAGAAAAAGATGGCAATTTTGGGAATGGTTAAGGCGCTTTTAATGTGAATATGGACACTAACACTATCGTAAAAACTGAGTTTCAAGCGGAAGAAATATCACTTTCGGACAACTGTAACAGATGAAGCGCTTAATAAGCTAGTGTCCGAGGAAGGGAATGAGAAGACAAAAAGCAGTACTAAATGGGCAATTAATGTATTCGAGAAATGGCGAGAGGACAGGACTGAAAAAGTCCCGAACTTAACGTTATGGACTCAAAAGAAATGGTTTACTGGCTTGAAAGATTTGTGGAAGAAAGGAGAATAAAGGACAGGACGGAGTGCCCACCGAAATCATTTTTATCCGATATCACGCGGACTGTTAAGGTAGGGCTATTGTCTTATTTTTGTCGACCGGGTTATCATTTACCAGCGGTGTCTTTTTTTTATGTTATCAAGAAGATAGGAATTTGTGTATTATTTCACATTTAAGACAGTATATTAAAGAGAAAGCAAATCTTGGACTTCTGATCAACTTCTAATTAGTCAAAAACCACAGGCAGCGGTGTCATCTAACACCTTTGCGTGATGGTTAAGAAACGTTCTACAGCAGAGTGGCATGTACACGTGTGTATTCTGCGCATAGTACTAGGGCTGCTTCCACGTCTGCTGCGGTCGCCATGGGGTGTCCTATAGAGTATAGACGATATAATGTCCCAAGTCGGTTGGACAAATGAAAGGACATTTCCGAGATTTTATAACAAAGAAACTGTTAAAACATTAGATGTGAAAGTATTAGAAACTTAACAAAAAAGTATTGTGTGAAGTAGTATATAGAGCTTAGCACATTCAGATAAACATGGGAAAATATGTAGTTTATTGAAATTGTGTTGCATTTTTATTAACTGAAGATGCAATGGAATAAAATTGGTTCTTTTTTTCTCTGCATTAAATTTAACTAGAAAACTGACCAGTCAGCAAGGGCCCCGCCATGGGGTGGAATTATAAGGATGCAGCTTATGGAATGATTAAAAAATATATGAAGAAATAAGCAACAGCAAATGTATTCTTAAAATTTTCAACATAATTCCTGAATATCCAAAAACCTGTAAATAATATCCTTGTATATTTACATTAGGCACTGGCAGTAAAGAACAACCTAACATTGAATGTATATATAAACAATATGAAGTTTGTGTTTGTGTTATATAAAATGCCAGTCTTCAATGAATGCAAATACATGTATCATGAAGGCTTGACCTTAACTTCAAAACAAACAGCAGTTGCAGACAAAGTTTTTCATTAATCTTAAAATGACAGATAAAGATAGGCCTACTAAATTTTCTTCAGCAGGCTAGATAATTAATCCTGAGGGATTAATTGTACTTCTCTCATCATTTTCTTCTAAAGTTACAATAAGAACTTTTTCAGTATTAATATTACAATGGCTTAATCCAACTACCTTAAAAATTATTTTTTTTTTAAACACTTGAGGCCAGATAAGCTAGTGCTATTTCATGTGATTTCTCCATTCCTTTCCAGTAATTTGTAGAATTAAACTTCGAGGTAAATCTCGTTTAATTTTTAATTTTCCATTATTTAACACTGAATAAAAAATGAAATGGTTTTAAAAGAAAGTGTTTTATCAGCTCACCCTTCTATCCATTTTGCACATTGCTTTAATATTGTTATTATTCAGTGCTCAAAATTTCAATTCATTATACTAGTAGTTTAAAAGTTCGGTCAAGATCAATATTAGCAAGTCATATTGTAAACTGATTGAGAATATCTAACCATGTTATTTGTATCCCGCCCCCCCCCCCCCCCCCCCCCCCTTGCATATGATAATTGAGAAGTATATATGAATTTACGGGATGGCCAGCTGTCCGTAGAAATGATTATTACTATGTGAATTCTATATAAAATTTTCATTAACCAGACTATAGTTAACTTGTATTTTTTGACATTTCTAGAGCCTTGAAGAGTCTCAAGGTATTTCCAACTCCTCGTATGATGTAATTGGTTTTTGCAAAAACTTAAATTAATTTAAATGTATACCCAATAGAACAATATTTTTTGTAAGAATGCTTTTCAATAGATGTGATGATAAATATTAAGTTAAAGAATTTAAAAGATGTATATTTTCTTTATTTTATCAATTATTCAATCTTTACAAATGTTGAAAAGGGGCAATAACTCCTTCTAAGGTATCCTCATTGTTCTTCTAATGTAAAATAGTTTCCCTGATATTCACAATTCAAATGTGTATTATAAGTAGCAAGTATTTTGGAACTTTCAGCATCAGATTTATGTATTTGAACCAGTTTGTACATGATTTTTATGATACTGTTAGCAAATATTAAACGATTTTTTATGATGACATATATCTTTGTTTATATTTGTCTTCCATCTTAAATAATGTGGCAACCTTTACCTTATCTGCAATAATTGGTAAAATTAAACTACATAATACATTAAATGAAAATAAATGCAGTTTTTGTACTTTAAACCATTATAACTGTGAGGGTTAAAAGACCTAAAGAATTACCTTTCTCTTCTGACAATAATTCTTATTCTATATAACTTTATGAATACTATTTATATTTTTGAAAGGTTCCTCTGCGATAAAACCAGAAAAAAGTTACAACAAAAAGACAAGTTGCCACCAAAGATATACAACCAGCCTCAAAGAAAGACTCTTTGCATAAAGCCACCAAAGATTCCGACTTAGAAGGTAAGGCATATAAAAATATGTGTCTGAATGTTTTGTTTGCTGTAGAAAGTGAACATTCTCTAGATACATTGAAAGTATAATTAGTGATTTCTCCTTTTATTTTTTTTTTTTTGCTTTGTTCATTCATTTTCTAGTAAATCTTGAATTTCAGTGTCTGGACAAGTTGCTACCAAAGATATACAACCAGCCTCAAAGAAAGACACTTTGAATGAAGCCACCATAGATTTAGACTTAGAGGGTAAGGTATATAAAAATATGTATCTATGTTTTGTTTGCTGTAGGGAATGAAAATTATGCTAGATACACTGAAAGTAAAATTATTGATTGAAAAAAGAGGTGTTTCGTTTTTTCTTTGTTCATTTGTTCTCTAATAAGTCTTGAATTTCAGTGTCTGGACAAGTTGCCAGTAAAGATATACATTGTCAACCACCCTCAAAGAAA